TCCCTCCCCCCCCCTTCTCCAAACGTCCTGCCTGCTGGAGCTCCCCGCGCACCGGGTCCCTGACTTGGGACATAAACACACAGACCCCCCTTTCCCCCCTTTCTGCAGCATTTGCGCCCGACTCCTTCCTTTCACCGCGAGCCCAGTGGTGAACGCTTCAGTCTTGTCTCCTCCGCACAGACGGGCTCCAGCTTCCCCGCTCCTTCCCCGGCCTCCTCCCCACCTCGGAAACCCGCGCGCCGTCTCTTTCCCTTCGTTCTCTGCGGTTTTCTCCTCCGCTAATTCTCGACTCTCTCTCGAAATCCGACCCTCTCCGAGCCCCCTCCCCCGGCCCGCACCTCTTTCTCTGCGCATTGAAGACAGTTCGCTGCTTTTCCATGTGTGATTCCTTTAATCGTGTTACTAATGCTCCTCGGACAGCCGCAGGTTGCGCCCCGCTCCTTTCTAGCTTCTTTCCGCACTTGCCCCCGGTTTCTCACTTCCCTCGACGCCCGTCCCTCTTACCCCTCTACCTCTTCCCTGTCCCCACCCTCTTCAAAACTCCCTTGGCTTTTCGGGGCGGCGGGGAGGGGGGGGGGATAGAAAACCAGGCGGGCGCCATTGGCGTCCTCTCAGCTTGGGAGACAAGAACTTCTTAGGTCTTCCTTTTGGAAAGGGTGGCTTAGAAAGAGGGGCTTTATTTTTGCCTGTAGAGAGGTTTGGGATCTTGTCGATGCTCAAGGCGCCGTCCTTTACAGAATATGCTGCCCAGGGCCCGAGGGCACCCGGGCCTGGCTTGGCCCGTGGAAGCACAGAGGTGGAGAGGGCCCTTCTGTACAGTGCGCTGTAGGCGGAAGTTATGTTGGCTCCAGGTCCCTTTTCCAGCGCAGGGCAGGGCTCGAAGGGCGATAAGGGGGGAGGTGCTGGGCACAGGTGTAGGGAGAAGGGCACTGAACGTTGAGTTCACTGGGTGGGTGGTGGGGGGTTAGGGTTCTGGGTACAGAAAGAGAGCGCTCCCTGCGGGCAGGGGGAGAGGGTGAGGGCTGCAGGGACTCGGAGAGGAGGGAACGGTGGAGCCCACGGAACGAAGGTCGTGGGGCTCGCCAGGAAAGGAAACTGGGATGCAAAGGGCTGGGGTGCCGCAGGTGGGGTCGCCTCCCCACTGCTTTCTTTACATCCTGTTTTCTCCCCTCCCAGAGGCCAAGCTACAGAAGTTCGACCTGTTCCCCAAGGCGCTGCTCCAAGCAGGCCGCCCGGGCAGCCCGCCGCCGCCTCCCGGGAAGCCCTTATCCCCCGACGGCGTGGACTCGGGTCCGGGGACATCATCCCCGGAGGTGCGGCCGGGCTCGGGCTCCGAGAACGGCGACGGCGAGTCCTTTTCGGGGTCGCCCCTGACCCGCGCCTCCAAGGAGGCGGGTGGCAGCGGCCCGGGCAGCGCTGGCCCGGGAGGCGGCGGCGAGGAGGACAGCCCGGGTTCCGCCAGCCCTCTGGGCTCTGAGTCCGGTTCGGAGGCCGACAGGGAAGAGGCAGAGGCCCCGTCCGTGCCAGGGCTGGGCGGGGGCCCGGGTCCGAGGCAGCGGACGCCGCTGGACATCTTGACGCGCGTCTTCCCGGGCCACCGGCGCGGCGTCCTGGAGCTGGTGCTGCAGGGCTGCGGCGGCGACGTGGTGCAGG